ATCGTGTTTCTTATATACAAACTTTATTGCAAAAGAAAACGGTGAATAACAACAACCATTTAATCACTTAAAATCAACAATTAATCGCAATTAATTGATGATTTTCGTGATTAATCGCGATGGTTGATAAAGTCATCGATTAATCGCGATGCACGAAAAAATTATCATTTAATCGCTACACTTGCACTCATGATTGATGAACCGGGAATGCCTCCGGCTAAGAGAAGAAAAGAAAAGATTCGAGAGCAACGAATTTTCAATAGCTTGATTTTATGTATAACAAACTTGCATATCATCGTTTTGGATAAGCAAAGCTTCAAAATTTAAAAACATTCAAAAAACCGGGTCCATCACCATCTGCCGAAACATAGAGCTCAAAGTGGTTGAAAAAATAGTACGGAACGAAACAAAATCATTATTTTAAGAATTTGATAAGCCTTAAAATCTTTTGAAAAGTTTCGGTTGGATAGTTGAATCAGATGATAAGAGGCTGTCCTAAAAAGTTTGATCTGTTAAGACACAATACAAGGCCATGTCTTTTGTTCTGAGGAGAGGGGCAAATCAACAGGTACGACTTCTATTAACACATTTTAATTGTTAAATTGTCTTAGACAATTCAATTAAATAAATATTGGTCGTGATGTTTGTTTGGTCTCTCGAAAAAATAAAAGCTCAGTTAGGATCCCGCAGGAGCTATGAAATTTTCATCACTTTCAACAAAACATATACGGCTTAACTGTTCTGCGTATGTAGTCATTCTCTCTGAAAACACGTTCTGATCTATACTCGTTCCATCCTCTCGATACTGTGTCATGTAGCTCTCTCTCTCTATCACACGTGTCTCTACTCTATAACATCTACATTCTAAAGAAAAGGTGTTCTTCAGTTTTTCAAAGAACCGAAAAATTGATGGGAATTTTGTTCTTCATTTATCATAAATAGAAAGCTCAATTTGTTCTTCAGCTTTTAAAAAAATTGTTCTTTTCCGACTCTTTGAAAAGCTAAAGAACACCTTTTTTTTAGAGTGTACTGTGTCTTCTGACTCATCACAGAGTATACAGGCTTTGGTTATTACGGCGATGGATGACCACGGCTGAAGTCGAAAGTTATAAACTGTATGATTTGAGCAGTAGGTCGAACAGGAAAAATTGAACATCTAAAGTTTACTTTTTGATAATTTAGTCCAGAAGTAAAATTAATGCTTTAAACTTCTTAGTTTTAATGTTTGATTCCAACAACTGTGTACTATTGTTTTGTGCTTTGTTTTCCTTCTGTTCTATCCTAGTCTCTTCTCCAAAACACGAAGAAAAATGTAAAGACGTTGAACAAAAATGTAAATATTTCTATCAAAAAAATATTTGGAAAAAATTATCACCTAAAAATACGACTTTTTAGGAGTAGGAAAAGTTCTGAATCCGAGGAAAAATATTAAGTTCCATTCAGAAAAAAGTGATAGAAAAAGTCAAGAAAAAGAAAACGCTGCGAGCAGGATTCGAACCTGCGCGGGAAGATCCCATTTGATTTCGAGTCAAACGCCTTAACCACTCGGCCATCACAGCACACATATTCTTGCATATTTGTTAAACGTATATTGTAAGGTACTTATAGTCGTTTACTAATGCAAAGCTTTTATAACACTCGATCAACAAAAAGACGACATATATATCATACATATTTGCTGAAACTCAAAACAAAAATTTACAAGATCTGATGCGGTCTTGGAAGATCTGTTTCGAGATTTTATCAATTTGAATTTCATTCATAGAGTACGTACAATGTGAGGTGTCTGTAATTCAAAGATCAAGAGGGTCTTTATTTTTTTGCTTATATCGACGCAGAATTTTACGCTGATCACGAATATCATAGTTAAAAGATTTTTAGGGCAAAATTCAAAAAACTGGAAGGGTGCGATTTTTCGAAATATTGACCTGTTCCCAGAAAAACTCCAGTATCTCCACTCCGGAGCACTTGGTAAGTCAACAATGTGATATTCGGAATCAGTGTGAAAAACTGATTCTAAGCCAATACCTTTTGAAGTTCTAATTCAAAATCTGGAACTTAGGCGCGCATTTGAAATGAGAATTTCAAATCATTTAACCGATGATGGAATAGTGTATGGGAAACTGTTTGATAATGAAAAGTCAACAGAAGATAGTCCGTTAAAACGTTCTGAACTACACAAAAAGTAATTTGAGAAAGGAAATATTAACAAATTTCATGTGTCAAGTAAATTTTCAATGCATCAAATTAAAAAATTATCCATATGGCATGATTTTCACAAATCAATTAATTTAGATTAGATCGAAGTTAAGAATAATCGAACTAGAGATATTAATTGATTTCCATTAAATACTCCGTTGTTAGCACGAAAGAATTCGCTAACAAACAGAAGGGAATGTAGACATTATTATACACAATCATGCTAAGTCGAGGATGACATGAAAATAAATGGGGCAAATAATGTATAAACGGCACAAATGAGTAGAAAAAAAATGCTCACCTATTGGTTGTTTTTTTTCGTTTTTAGAAAGTAGTGAATGATATTTTATTGTCTGAGCATATTCATACTGTTTCGGAGCCTGCTACGAGTCCACACGAAAATTATCGAACAAAATATCGTGTTTGTACCAAAATTGGTAAAGCGAAAGGTCTATTTCGAACAGGAGGGAAAGATACACAAGTGTATTTGAAACTATTCGACGACAAAGAAGCAGCCGAAGACTTACATTTAAAAAAATCGATGGAAAACGAACATCCTATTAAAGAAGCACAAACAATAAGTTTTACTTTTGTTTTATAATTACCTTCTCTGTTGGATCTGTCGACTTTTCTTTCATAGATTCCTATTTCAACGATTAAATACAATTGCTATCATATTATTCAATGCTTCTTCATTTTTCAGGATATTTTTTATGTTGGCACTTAGTATAAGATGAATAATACTGTTAAAGTTGAACTATTTTATACAGGGAGAAAAAAATAATGGCTGGTATATTGAATGGTCGGAAATTAATTGTCCATAAAGAAACGAATCAATTTTACTGCTACCTGATCAAACCGGGGATGAATTTGAATAACACGAATGAATTAATAAATCCTTCATCTACGCCATGTTAAGAGTTGTCAGGTGTAGACACTCTGCCTCTATTGAGAACATCGGTTAATTAATTATTAGAATCAAACACTCTATCATCATATGAAAGTCGTTTTCATGTTAAAATTAAAAAAAGAAGTAAAGGTAACTGATATTTTAAAGCATAAAGTCTAAATTACGCGTTATTAATGTACATCTCCATCTATTCTGCAATGCGGGTCTGTTAGGTAATAAGGCACCACTCTATGTGTATCTCTGTATTACTGATGAAAATGATCAAAAATTAGAAGATATTTTATTGAAATATTCACGACATGATGATAATCATGGGAAACCATTTCATAGTGGATACATTGATATATACGATAATATTAGAAGTCAAACATGTTTAGGAAATATTAAAAAATTAGAATTATGGCATGATTCATGAGATAAAGAATATACGTGGTTTTGTGATTGATTAAAAATGTATGATTTTAGACCAAGGGGGAAACTGCGGACTTTAGACTTGAACGAACTTTGAAAAGTCCGACGGACTTGAGGGGACTTTGATGGACTTGAATAGACTTGAACGGACTCTAGAGGACTTTAAAGCCCTCAAAAGTCCGCTCTAGTCGCATCCGTTGATACATTCCTAAGACATAGAGTAGTCAGTATTTTGAGTTGGTTCCACTGTTGATTGCTTTTGCATCATCTCCGCTGATTATAGTGTAATTTCAGCAGCATC